GCTGACCAGAGGGCTCATCTCTGCTGGGAATAATTTGCTTGTAGGGTTGTCCTGTGGAGTAAATAAGTGAGATAATATATTTAACATGCTAAGCACAAGACTGACTTATAGTAAGTGCCAGTTAATGGACTCTCTATCTATAATCTGTACAGAGTTTTCTTTAATATTTGTATTGATTTTTAGAGTGAGAGGAAGGAAGAGTGAGAGAGAAAGAGAAACATTGACTGAGAGCAGAAGATCAATTAGCTGTCTCCTGCACTCCCCCTACTGGGGATGGATCCTGCCTCCTGGGCATGTGCCCTCACCAGGAATTGAACCAGCAATCTCTTGGTGCATGGGATGTGCCCAACCAGCTGAGCCACAGAGGCAAGGGCTGTATAGTGTTTTAAAATAATCAAAGCTGTCATTTATAAATCTAGAGAGTTTATGTAAGTTTGGGTTTATGGCTTCTCTTTAAACATATCAGAAGATATGACAACATGGGTTGTCAGCAAACAGCAGCTACCCCTTTAACCGAGCGAGGCTATCTAGGTGGCCCAGGGCTATCCCCCCGAGTGCCTGGCGCTCACCCCTGGCCTGCTGCCTCCTCGGTGAGGTCCCGGGCCCTGCTGTTTATCTGAATTTACATTTAAAGACTACATGATGTGACATGGCTACCAGCCAACACGGATTCTTGCACCTACTGCGCGCCTCTGTCTCCCCAGCAAGAGCAGAACATCAAGCCCCAGTTCTTTGCCTTCCGCTGGCTGACGCTGCTGCTGTCCCAGGAGTTCTTGCTGCCTGATGTCATCCGTATCTGGGACTCCCTCTTCGCTGATGACAGCCGCTTTGACTTCCTCCTCCTTGTCTGCTGCGCCATGCTCATGTGAGTGTGGCCATGAGCAGAGGGGCGGGCGGGACTGCCCTCACCAGGCTGGAGGGAGCCGCTGGGAACCTTGGGTGCGGGTGGTGAGCGGGAAGGGGCTGGGCGGGGCCTGCACTAGGCGCAGCCCAGGGTCCCAGCGTTTTGCTGCTTGTTTTCCTTACTTAGATTGATCCGGGAGCAGTTGCTGGAAGGGGATTTCACTGTGAACATGCGGCTCCTTCAGGTAATGGTGTTCAGAGGCAGACACTTACCGAGCGCCCACCCCCTGCCAGCTACTGGGACAGGCTGGGTCAGAACAATGGAGTGTAGCAAGGCTTAAGAGTCTGGACCCCTGATGCAGATCTGGGTTTGGATGGGTTTGAATCCCGGCTTTGGCACTGACCTTGAGTGTAGGGTGGCCTTGAGTGAATGACTTGGCCTCTCTGAACTAAGTGCTGTACCTGTTCATTGTACCTGGGACACAGCGGTGCCCAGTACGTGATAGTGCTCGGAGGTAGTCATGCCCAGACCTGGAGCAGGAAAGTGGGGCTCAGTGGTTAAGAACATGGGCTCAACGGTCAGACAGTGCTAGGCTCACATCTTTGTTCTGCTCTGCGAGTCGTGACCTAAGCCAAGTAATAAGCTCTCTAGGCCTCAATTTCTTCAACACCTGGCCTGGGGTTTGTTTGCAATAACTTTACTGAGTAGATCTGTAAATAGGCATAAGCACCCCCTGATTGGGCTTTTTTTTTTTTTTAATATATTTTATTGATTTTTTACAGAGAGGAAGGGAGAGAGATAGAGAGTTAGAAACATCGATGAGAGAGAAACATCGATCAGCTGCCTCCTGCACATCTCCTACTGGGGATGTGTCCGCAACCCAGGTACATGCCCTTGACCGGAATCGAACCTGGGACCTTTCAGTCCGCAGGCCGACGCTCTATCCACTGAGCCAAACCGGTTTCGGCCTGATTGGGCTTTTGAGGTGCCCCTTTGAGCTGATGTATGGACAGAGGCCAGCCCAGTGCCAGGTGGGGAGAGAGGAGCAGAATGGTCCTGGTCCCAGGGAAGGGCTGCAGGACCTGTGGTGGAGCTGGTTGGCTTGGTTACATTAGTGCTGCAGTGAGTGCCATGTTAGCTACATGTGGGGGTGATAACCTGTGGCCCCTGCCTCTGGGGCCCCCGATACAGCATGGTGACAGGTCTCAGGGGGAAGGGCACAGGTTGGCAGCGGGGGAGCTGACTTCAGAGGTATCTTGTTGGCTTTTCCCGTGCCCAGGATTACCCCATCACAGATGTCTGCCAGATCCTACAGAAAGCCAAGGAACTCCAAGACTCAAAGTAGCCTGGCAGCAAGAGGCCCAGGTTTGGGAGAGAAGCCACCACCGGTCCGTGTTCTGGCTTCTGGAACACAGACGCCTGTGGGATCCCAGCCCGAGGGGGAGCTCCAGGCCTTCTCACTTGGCTCCGTCCCCCTAGGCCACTCCCACGGGGGCACGCTGTGCCACGATCCTTCCTGACCACCAAGCCCTGGCTCCCTCTCTGCTCTGCAACCCTGGGGCCCTTTCCCCAGGCAGCTGAGCAAGGCTGGAGCTTCTGAAGTTGTTTCCTGGGACTGGGCACATTGGGGGCGCGGGGGCTGGTAGAGGTCCCTCCTCCTCCTGTGCTGCTGCTCCCTCCGGCTCTGCTCGGGGAAGGTGCTTGGCAGATGAGCCAGAAACCACCTCGGGGGGGTTGGTGCTTAGGCTTCTCCGTGGGCACAGTGACACTGAGGGAGCTAAGAAGCTGCCAGGCCCAGGCCACACCCTCTGCCTCTCACTGAGTGTGTGTCTGTGCCAGTCTCTCTGTCTATCCGTGTGGATGTGCGGGGGAGGGTTTTTGATTCCCTCTAGGTCTCTGCTTCTCCCCTGTCTCTGCCCGTCTCCTTCTCCCTCCATCTCTTTCACAGAGGCTTTGCTCCTCAACATTGCTCTCCCTCTGCCCTCCTCTCTTGGGGTGCCTTATCCCCAGCCTCTTCCCCTCACTCCTCCCCTCCATGCCTGTGAAACCCAGAAATAGAATGAGGAGTCTGGCTTAGCAAAGCCTCTGGAAGTCACCCTTGGCCTTTGCACCCTGTTCCCACCCCCAGCCCCAGGCTCCCAGGTCCCTCAGACTGGGAGGGAGTCCACAGTGCCTCACCAGAGGGCCCTGAACCTGCCCCCCCCCCCCCCAATCTTGGAAACCAAAAGCTGCTGAGAAGTGATGGCCCGTGAGGCTTTGAGCCTCTTACCCTCCTTTCTGCCCAGGGATGGAGGAGGGAGAGCTGAGTCTTCCAGAGATTTCCCCAAAGGAACAGGACATTAAGGCGGTGCTGCGCCAGGGTTTGGGATCCAAGTGCTTCAGAAGAGTAGTCATTCCCGCGGCTTTCAGGGCCCATCCAGGGAGGGCGAGTCCCATGATTGGCCAGCGGGACCAAAGGGAGCCTCCCTGGGCGGGCTGAGCTCAGAGGCCCTGGATCCTGTCAGGGCCAGGGGAGCCGAGCAAGCAGAAGTGGGTGCTGGTCACCCACTTGGGCTGGTCCCAGGATTTGGGGTGGATGCACTTAGAGCAGGAGCCGTTGGCCACTCCCACTGCTGGGCAGTGGGAAGAAAGGGCTTATTCTGATCAAGTCCCTTCCCTCCTTTTGTAAGGAGGCAGGTGGTTTGGGTCTGGACAGCTGGGTAATGGGGCAAGGGTCTTCCTCTGCTCAGACTGGCGGGCAGGCACCCTGGCGCCCCCGTAGCCGTCCTGAGGCCGGCAGCCAGGACCTGCTGCCGCATAAGCCAGGCTGTGGGCCAGGATCAGCTTCCCCCAGGGGCTCCTGTTGCTTTGGATGCCGCTGGGACTTGTGCACTTGCCTGTTTGCCACCTCCTCTCATAACACACAGTTTTTGGGAGATTTTTACTATTTATTCAAACTCTTGGATATTTATTGCCGATTGGCAAGTGCTTGGTTTGGGGGTGTGGGTGGAGCTGGGAAGGCAGAAAAGGAGTTAGAAGCATGTTCTTTGGGCTTTCTGAGGTCAGACTCGGCGTCCTCTCCCCCTGCCTCTGGAACCTTCCTGCTGGGGTTGCTCTGAGTTCTGTCCTGGAACTGGAAGGAAGACTCCAAGACCTTGCACTGGACAGAGACACTGCTTCCCACCAGCCTGGCCCACCTTCCCAGAACTTGTCGGCTTGTTCAGTTCCAACTTTGACTCCTTCTCAGCCTGAGATGTGGGTCACAGCCTGGGACCCAGCAGACACTGCCCAGGGCACCTGATGCGTTCCCTCTCGCCTGTCCCCTTGCCTTCCCTTCTGGGGCCACACTACTTGAATCACTGCATCGGATTTGCCTCAGTGGCAGGCCTGAGGCCAGTGCCCTCTCCTTGACTTTTGGATGAAGGTCAAGAGCACAGGGACCATGTCGAGGTTTGGCTGAGGAAAGGACCTACCCCTGGTGATTCCCTTTCTCTAAATTCTCAAGGGAGGTTCCCAGACAGCCCGAGTGCCCGGCTTCCTGCTTGTGAAGCTTCCCCAGGAACTGGGACACGTTACAGATGGGGCTGTATTAGTATGAATTCAGCGGGGCTTGCTCACTCCAGGGGGTCAGAACGTTAGTCTGCGTTTGTTTGTTTTTTGTGTTCTTTGTTTTTAAGGAAATCAGTTTTGTTTCTTGAATCAGTGCTGTTGATGACAAGTTGTCTTTAATAAATCATGTTCTTTGCAAAGGGCGCTGGTACTGTGATGGGCTGGAGCCTTCGAGACCTCAGCAAGAAGGAAAAGTCTGAGCAGGAGGCTCTTCGTTGTCTGAGGAAAGGCCCGGGGAGTCTTGGCGGTGGTGCCTGTTTAGCTCCTCGCTCAGACGTGCAGTGTGCAGCTGGGAGGGGGCGGACTGGGAAGAACGTAATTACATCATGGTTTCAGAGCAAGTTTGTTTGTTTTTTTAGATTGAAAACCTATGAAAACTCAAACACCAGTAAATAAAACAAGTCATTCATATCCCACAATCTGGAGGAAATCCCTGAGAATACGTTAGTCTTTTCTTCGCAGGTGTAATTTTTATTACATAATCGTCTTATTTTTCCAAGCAAATGAATACTTTTATTAACATGGTAAATTTTTAAGTGTGTGGTAGGGTTTTGACCTCAAATACTTGTCAGCCGGGCAATTTATGAACCTGAAACATACCTAGTCCCTGTCCATTTTAGAGTCCAATGCATACAATCCTTGCTTTCCTTCCCTTGCCCCTCAAGGGCCTTTGCCAGTATCTCATGCCCCAAATCCCCTGAAATGCATAATTGTCTTGATACATAGTTTTGTGTATTGTCAGCCCCCACATGGTAGGTGTTGAGCAAGTTGCTGTATGACTTAAATTTTTATAGGCTACATACTACTCTTTCTAATACGCTAACAACGTTGGAAATCCAGTCTATTTCTGAACATTTATAACACTGCGAGGAAGTTTCTGTTGAAATCCTTGCGTTCCCGGTTTATTTTCCCAGCGCAGTCCTCTAAGTGGGTTTAAAGGTGAACACCTTTTGAAGGCTTTTCATACATACTGCCAAGCTGCTTTCTGGCATTGCGCCCGTTTCTATTCCAAACAGCAGTTAGGATGGGCCGCCTGCATCCTTGTTCTCTGGGTGTTAAGAAAACCTTGGCCTTAGAACTTTTGGTTTGTGGTGCAGTTGTTAGGACGGACTCCGCTGCCTTGTCCTTGTTCGGCCACTAGGAGCTCCTCTGTAGACTCTTCTGGGGTAAATGTGATGGAAGCACTTTGGACTATGGACTGGTACTGGCTCCGGGCGCTCACACAGCAGGAGCTCTCTGCGCAGGCGCGCGGGGGGGGGGCGGGGTTCCTCGCTGGAGACCCGAGGAGGCGGAGCGGCGTGGAGCGGTGGCCAATCACAAACCAAAGCGCCGGTGCCGCGCCCCTCAGGTCCGCATCTTAAAGGACAAGGAACCATGACTTCCAATCACGAGTGGTCTCCCTTCATTAGTCTTACTCCCTTCGTTAGAGTCCTAAGCCCTTCCGAGCCTTAGAGCGTGGAAGGGACGGACATGGCGCCCACTCAAGCCCCCACCCGGCCCCATCCCCACAGGCCGACGCGGCCCCTTTAAGAGTCTCGCTGGCCCGAACACCTCGAGGTCGCGGCGTTTCCCGGCGCCTCGGGCCGCCCTCCATTGGCGCTGCGGACGCACTCCCGGCCATGCGGGCGCTGCGGGCTGCCCTGACCCTGGCGCTGGGCGCCGGCCTGGGCGCGGCGGCCGAGGGCTGGCGGCGGCGGCGGGCAGATGCGCGGCCGGCGCCGGGGCTGCTGGGCCGGCTGCCAGTGCTGCCCGTGGCGGCGGCGGCCGAGCTGCCCGTCGTGCCCGCCGGACCCGGGGCCCTGGCGGGCGGCGGCCCCGGCGAGCTGGCCAAGTACGGGCTGCCCGGGCTGGCGCAGCTCAAGAGCCGCGAGTCGTACGTGCTGTGCTACGACCCGCGCACCCGCTGCGCGCTCTGGGTGGTGGAGCAGCTGCGGCCCGAGCGCCTCCGCGGCGACGGCGACCGCCGCTCGTGCGACTTCCGCGAGGACGAGTCGGTGCACGCGTACCACCGCGCCACCAACGCCGACTACCGCGGCAGCGGCTTCGACCGCGGCCACCTGGCCGCCGCCGCCAACCACCGCTGGAGCCAGAAAGCCATGGACGACACCTTCTACCTGAGCAACATCGCGCCCCAGGTAGCGCCCGCCCCGCCCCGGGCTCTCGGAGCCTCGGTTACTCTGCAGCCGGGAAAGCCGAGGGCGCGCTGGGTCAGGGCTCACTAAGCACCCGCCCTAAGCCGGGGGCACCGAGCCCTGGGCGCCCAGCACCCGCTCTGCAGTCCGACCCTGAGGCCCTGGGCTTCGTTTCCTGGCCTGTAAAATGGGGCTATCACTGTCATTTACCTGCGTCCTGCAGTAGCGATGGGGACTGTAGACCCGGTGCTTATAAAAGTACTGCGCACTCTTCCTGGCCCGTGGCAGGCGGTCAATAAATACTAGTTATGATGAGAGGACTGAGGCCGAGGGGCCAAGTGACCGGCCCAGTGTCACATGGGAAGGGACCCGTGCGATGTCTAGGACCGAGCTTTCAGCCGCTGTCATACCCGCCTGCCTCCGGAGTAAAGGGAGACGCCTGCCGGCCGTCAGCTCTTCCCTCTGACTAGACATTGTACTGAGGACTGGAGCGCTCAAGTGATGGAATTGGAGCAGGTCAAGACGGTGCGGCTGGGTTCTGCACGTGGTCCAAAGCGGGAAAAGGAGATTGGGAGAGCTGGCCTTCCCACGAGCCCCTGGGGAGCACCCTCCTGAGCTCTGTCCAGGTCCCACCCTCATGGCCAAGTGGCCTAAAGGAGTGACTTCCATTCCTTGAACCAGTTTTCTCTACAAGCTTGCCTCCACCCTGCAGGAATCTCGGGCTTGGTGGCTGTGCCGGCTCCTCAGGGTTCAGGGAGGAAAGGTCCCAGCCAGTCTCTGAGCCCCCCTCTCCTACCAGGTGCCCCACCTCAACCAGAATGCCTGGAACAACCTGGAGAAGTACAGCCGGAGCTTGACCCGCACCTACCAAAACGTCTATGTCTGCACAGGGCCGCTCTTCCTGCCCAAGTAAGGCCAGAACTGGGGGAGCGGGTGGGGGCGGGAGCACCAGGGTCTCCCTCTCACCCCTTCCAGGCATGTCCCAGGCTCTGGGTCAACACTGCCAGGTCAGGACTGAGCATGCTCAGTGACTTTTCTGGCTCACTGACGGCTGGATGAGTGATGCCATAGGTTGGGGTGGGATCCAGGCCCTATCAGGTGGATGTCCCCATAGGGCTCAGCATGGGCTGGCCAGGGCACTGATGAACTTTAAAGAGCAAGCGCCTCCTGAGGCTGGCTTTAGTGAGGTAGACTGCTGAGGGTGAGCGTGGAGGTCACCCCACCGGGCAGTGTTCTGGGTTCCTGCTGTATACCCAGCCCGGTGCTGTTGCTGGGGATCCAGCTGTCAGTGCCTGGCTGCTTGGTGTTCACCCTGCACAGGGAGACAGGCAGCATCCAGCATCTGCATGGATGAATGTGGACGTGTAGGAGGCTGGATTCTTGCAGTAGCGTTTATTGCCACCACTCTGCTGACCCGGTAGACAACAGGATAAGAGGGTCTACCTTGCAGGAAGCTCCCAGTCTGTTGGGGAAGCCAAGGAGAGCACAGAAGCTTCATGAGGGGTTGTTCCCACAGCTTGACACAACTTGGGGGTCAAGTCAAGGAATGCTTCCTGGAGGCAGCAGCTTGGGTCTAACCAGACTCCCCCGGAGCCTGAAAGGCTATGTGTGCCTGGGTTTGCTTACAGGACAGAGGCTGATGGGAAATCCTATGTGAAGTACCAGGTCATCGGCAAGAACCATGTGGCAGTGCCCACCCACTTCTTCAAGGTGCTGATCCTGGAGGCAGCAGGCGGGCAAATCGAACTTCGCTCCTATGTGATGCCCAATGCGCCCGTGGACGAGGCAATCCCGCTGGAGCGCTTCCTGGTGCCCATCGAGAGCATCGAGCGGGCCTCGGGGCTGCTCTTTGTGCCGAATATCCTGGCAAGGGCAGGCAGCCTCAAGGCCATCACCGCCGGCAGCAAGTGAGGGCAGCAGCCCAGCCAGACTGAGGGTGTGTGGCTGGGTCGCATTAAAGATGGTTATTTTTGGAGAAAGTCTTGGCTGTGTTTGTCCCAGGTGACATCTCAAGAACCTCTGGCTTCGCCGCTGCTGCTTCACTCTCTAGTGCCTGACGGACCTTCCGCTGCGCCAGCACCTGCCTTGGTGAGGCCTGGCTGCAGGGCAGCCAGGGAGATGAGGATGGCCTCCTGGAAGAGAAGTGCAGCAGTGGGCTGGGGCCGGGAGGCTGGCAGGTGCCCTGGCTCCCATTTTATCTTCAGTGCCTGACTGCCCAGGACCCAGTCCCTTGGCTGCTGCCTCCAGCGGGGCCCTGAGGTTAAGGTCAGGCCCAGGGTCAGCCTGCCAGTCTGCCACTGGAGCAGTGGAGCAGCCCCAGCTAAGAGCCCGCAGGTACGGCCCTCTGTGCTGAGTTTAGAAGTGGGGCCACAGGTTCTGTGGATGCCCAGGACTAAGCTTTCAGGAGGGCTGCCCTGTCCACTGCGGTCACACTCCAGGGCGTGAACACTGAGCATACAGTGAAGGAGATGGAGGCCCAGAGCAGGGGTGGGTGGGGTCTCCTGGGTCACCCAGCTTGGGAACAGCTGGACAGGCACCAGCACCCAGGAGTCTAAACTCCCAGCTCACTCATGTCCAGGCCCTGCTACAAGTCTGCAGCGGTGAGAGGCCCACGGGGGAGGAGGCCATCTCCAGAGAAGGCCGGCTCAGGCAGCCGTGGGCAGGGTATGCCACAGGGAGAGTTGCAACCGCCTTAGACCCCCAAGGCCCTGGCTGGCGGCTGAAAGCAGGGGAGGTAAGCAGGCTCACCTCAGTGCGAATGGTGCGGCTGCCCTGGCTGGGGCAGGTGTTCACATACAGGTCGAAGAGGACACTGGGCTCAGTCACCTCCAGGTTGGGGTCAGCATTCACTCCAGCTTCTAGCCCCTGGAGGCCCCCGAACACCACAAGAGCGTGCCTGGCACCCACAGTGGCGGGAATCACTGACTGCTCGTCAAGGCCACGATGAAAGCCGCCCCCACAGCTCTCAGCCCCTGTACACAGCAGGTGCCCAGTCTACAGTTTTGCCCCCACCCGACCGGTCCTCTGCTCCATTCCTCCTCCCCCCGCCCCTGCTCCAAGCTGTGCCCACCTGAAGCTGGGGAGCTGGGCAGAGGCCACATCCGAGCCTCGCTCTGATGTCCCGATGGTTAGGTCATACCCGTCCTGGAAGGGGGCCTCAGCAAACACAGCACCTGGGGGTGAGGCCAGCTCAGTAGGGGTCCTGCTTTCCACAAGCCACAGCTGCCTGGCTGTGTGTGTGCTGGGTGGGGTGTGGAGAAGGGGACCCAGGTAAAGGAGTCATTCAGGCCCTCCCCTGTTCCTGGGGGGTCAGGCACTGACCAGGGAGAGGCCATGCCTGTGCTATCCTGCAGAAGCAAAGCAGAGGGTGGCTAGGAAGGACTTTGAGAACACGTACTGCAGCTCTGACTTCTCTGGTCCTTTTGCCCCCATCCCCAACCCCAGAGAGGCATTATCCATTGGTCATGATACTTCTCCTCTGAAGTCCTTAACAGCATCCAGGCTAAGCACTCGGGGAGACCAAGGCCCAGAGCAGGAAAAGCAGCTGCCCAAGGACACAGAGCAAGTTGGCAGGACAAGGACGTTGGTCTGACTTTTGGGTCAAGCAAGGCTCCCTGTGCCCTGCCACGCAGAGAGGAAGGAGATCGATACAAGGGAGCTCTGTCCTTACTGAGGCAGGAGGCCAGCCGGACTGTGTAGCCCCAGTAGAGTCCAGCTTTGGTGCGAGGGTCCTGAGACGACACGACTTTTCCACGGTAGGTCTTGCTTTCTGGGGGGGAAGTGGAGAGGCTGTGAAGACGGGCTGAGGGGACAAGGAGGTGGAAGGAGGAGGGTCTGAGCCCTCAGGCTGGCCAGGCCGAGGAAGCTTTCAGATACCCGGGAGCTGCTTCTGGCTCAGGCGCACGGTCACACGAAGCCCAGGTTCCAAGTTCTTGTCAATCTTCACCTCCTAGGGAGAAGCCAGACATGGGTGTGGTTTCCCACAGGACCAGCAGGAGTCACCACTTGCCCAGATGTCGGAGAATCTGGCTGGCAAGGGACCTAAAGGGTCCACGTCAACCTCAGCCCTCACACCTGAGCCAGACCTGCTTACAAGACACCATTCCTGCAAAATGACTATCACAAGACACTGGTCAAAAACGAATGCTCTGGGCCCGGCTGGTGTGGCTCAGTGATTGAGCGTTGACCTATGAACCAAGAGGCCACCAATCCGATTCCTGGTCAGGGCACATGCCTGGGTTGCGGGTTTGATCCCCAGCGGGGTGCATGCAGGATGCAGCCAGTTGATGTTTCTCTCTCTTCCCTCTCCCTTCCTCTCTGTCTAAAAAAAATCAATAAAGACATTTTTTTTTTTTTTTCAAATGAATGCTCTAGGCCGGCAGAGTAGGAAGTAAGGATTTCGTGAGCAGATGAAATCTCAGCTTTCTCATTTTGGTGGCACAGCCACTTCCTAACCATGGGAGTTTGAGTGGGTCCCTTAACCTCTGAGCCTGTTTGCTCACCCAGCAAACAGAAGGCATTCCATCACAACAGCGACTGCTACGCTGCACGGGCCTGGCATGAAGGCAATGCTCACTACAAGGGCACTGTGACGAGTAACAGATGCTTGTTTTGTGCCAATTCTGAATTCTGGGTAGGGCGCTTTCTCTCTCTTTGAGGGTTTTTATGCTTTTCTCCATCTGTGTAGCCAGTTATTTCTGTTCTTTTTTTAAAAATAAATCTTTATTGTTGAAAGTATTACATATGTCCCCTTTTTCCCTCCATTGACCCCCTCCAGCTGGTCTGTTCGAGGGGAGGACACCCCACACATTTACATGTCTCTGCCTCCGACCCTAGGAGACTTGAGAGCCAATAGGTGGCAAAGGAATTGTTCCAATCCCCAGCGTGGCCTGGATCACATTGGAGCAGCCCCAGAGTGACTTTGAACTTGTTTTTGTAGGGTTTTGTTTTGTTTTTAAAAGCACAAGGACCATTTTCTGTTGATTTGCTTTAAAAAAAAAACACACCAATAAATTCACTCCTGGCTTTATCTATTGAGCCCCGATTTAAGCACTTCTCTGGTCCAAACCAGCATCAGTGGGCAACTGGTGGGCTGAGATGCCTGGGTCCCGGGCTCCCCACCCACACACCCCACTGGCGCTCCATCGCCAGGGTATACCTGGGAAGCGTGGGTTCATCCACGCTCCAATTCCTACCTTCTTCATGCCACAGTTCACGAAGGAGCCCTGGCCCGGCCGGGTGGGCCGGTCCACCACGACGCCCTCTCGGAACTCAGACTCCTCGTCCTGACGCATGTGGTGAGGGCTGTCCAAGGGGTTCAGGAGCCCTGTGGGCGGGGGTGGGGGGGGGGTTGGGGTGGGGTCAGGAGAGGTGCAAAAGCACATGGGGGTATGGCAGGGACCCTGGTCCAAGGTCCAGCTCTGTCACAGCTGCCTCTTGCCACCAGGCCTGCTCTGCCTGGGCTGCTTTCCCAGCTGTCTCGCAATTTCTCAGGATCTGGGAATGAGCCATGGGAAATGGGGGTCAGACCCCCCCCCCAAGCCTTACCTGCAAACTGCAGATCCTGGTGCTTGGGAAAGAAGGCCTTCCTTAGGTACCTAGTGAAGGACACAGATCTCAGGAAGTTCCCAGGGAGGCCACCTCTGCCTGACCTGTACCTCCGCCGCCCTCCCCCACGCTCAGGAAGCCTGCCCTTCACCCCTTACTGTGGACACTCCAGGTACTGCAGAATCCGGGCCAGCTGTACACATGCCTGCCCCTTCTTGCCGACGCCCCTGAATTCCCCTTCCACGGTCCTGGAGAGAGAAAGACAGGGTTCAAGAGCCTTCTGTGTTCCCTCCAAGAGCTCGTCCGCCCAACCTGACCCTGCAGCACCCTACTTTGCAGCTCTACCCACCAGGACTACAATGGGGGCATTTCAGGCACGGTTCTCAGCCCAGGCAAGCCCAAGCCAATGCTAGCAGCCCCTCCCTTCCCCCTGAGCTTGGTATCCTGCAGAATGGCCCCTCACTTGGCTTCCTGGCCCTCTTCGTCGAACACCACAATCTCATCCACACAGAAGATGGCACAGGCCCTGGCAATCTGGCCTGCCAGGTAGGTGCGAAGCTCGGGCGACTGGGCATTGTCAAGAATGGAACCAGGCAAGGCCACGCTCAGGGTGTAGGGCCTCCCTGTGGGCAAAGGGGGGGTGTTGATGGTCAGTCTAAGGTCCCTTCCAGATATGACATTCTCTGCCCTGCCCAGGACCCAGTCCGCTCACCCTGGTCCTCCCTCTGTGCAGCTGCCTCCTCCTCCTCCTGGCGCTTTGTCTGTTCCTCCTGCGCCCGCTGCCGCTCCAGTTTTTTCATCAGCTTAAGATCCTTCCACTTCTTTTTCTCCTCTTTCTCTGGATAAGAAGACATCCCAATAGGTGGAGGTAAGAGGGACTTTGGAGGGAGAGGGCGTGGAGCAGTCTAGGAGATGATGACCTTTCAGTGCGGTGGGGGTTCCCACTCAGGTCCGGCCAGCCCAGGTGCTCAAGTGAGCTGGGTGGGCAGCCAGAGGAGCCTCCCGGGGCTTCTGACCCCTTCCTCCCATCTTGGGTGCTGTGGGACCCATAGGGGTCAAACCTGGTGGCTTTTCCCAAAGTTTAGATGTGCACCGCTGGAAGGGCCTGGGGAAGGGCCAGCACAGACACTCACCCTCACCCTCAGCCCCTACTTACTCTGCTGCTTCCATTTTCGCCACTCAACCCTTTGGCCATGTTCGCCCTGGAAGAATGGGAAGAAGTACAGGAGTGAGGCTAAATGGTCACTCTGGGAGGGGGTCCCACTTGTACCCCAGGGCCTGGGACCAGGCCTGGCACATAGTAAGCGATTAATAAACTGCTGAACGAGGACCGAGTAGCTCAAGTGGTTAGAGCCTTATCCGTATACGCCAAGGTTGCAGGTTCGATCAGGGTATACATACAAGAGTCAGCCAATGCATGCATCTCTCTCTCAAATCCACCAATAACATTATTTAAAATTGTAGAATGAGTTCCCACTGGAGAGAAGAGGAAACTGAGGTTCAGGGGAATGGGTCCTGGGAGTCAGAAGAGATACGCCACCGAAGGGCTCGGGTGGCGCGCAGGGTGCCACCTCCTGGATCCGGCCCGGCCAGAGTAGCCCCCAGGCGCCTCGGCGATCAGCTCCCAGACCCTGCCCGGCTGAGGCTCAGAACCCGCTCCCACCTCCCGCACGCGCTCGGCCACCAGCATGCGACACCTCGGGGCTTCCGGCCTCAGATCAGCGACCAAGAGGGAGCGGGAGGCACAGCCCGGCCCCGCCACGGGGACCCCACGCGGCTCGTTCTCACACCCCCAGCCCGTGTCCTGCCCCGGGAGCCCTACCTCTCGCCACCTACCGGGCCGCACGGCCGCTTCCTCCCGCGCTCCGCCATGGCAGACGCACACCTTCGGCCACGTCCTGCCAATCAGACTCACCTCCTGCAAGCCGCCCAATCAGAGAGGCGATGGCGCGCGGGGGCGTGGCCTAGGCCTGAAGCCGCGGGAGAGCGTGGGCGGGGCCGTGCTCGCGTTGGGCGCGCCTGCGCAGTGGTGGGCGCGGCTGGAGGCGGGTCAGTGTCCAGATGCGCGGCGTGTGGCGCTCTGGGTCCGCGGGACACTCGAGCCGCCCGTCGGCTCCGGTGGAGCGCGACACTCAAATCTCAGCTTGGTTTTACACAGTGGGACCCTGAGCCCCAAAACTGGAGTGTGATTCAGAGCTGGAAAGGACCTTGGATATCATTTAACCCAATTCTTAAAAGGTTTGTTCATTTACTCTCTTTTAATTGAGAAGTTCTGTATGTATGTATGCATATATGTATGTGTCAATCCTCACCTGAGGATATTTTCCCATTGATTTTTAGAGACAGCGGAAGGGAGGGGGGAGACAGAGAAAACTATCCATGCACCAGAATAGAACCTGGGACCTTTCAGTGGATAGACATGCACTCTATCCACTGAGCCAAACCAGATAGGGCTAGCCTTTATTTAATTTTTTCAAAATATTTTTATTGGTTTCAGAGAGGAAGGGAGAAGGAGAGAGAGAGAAACATCAATGATGAGGGAGAATCATTGATCGGCTGCCTCCTGCACGCCCCACACTGGGGATTGAGCCCACAACCCAGGCATATGTCCTGACTGGGAATCAAACCATGACCTCCTGGTTCATAGGTCAATGCTCAACCACTGAGCCACACTGGCCGGGCAAGAAGCCTGAACTCTGCATTTCCTTAAGATGGATTTGAGGAACTGCTAGGGCCTCCATCTTCCTGATTGGCACCTTCGGTCAATAAGCCTTTCCTCCCTCCGGACTCTGATGCTTTGGGTTTTTGCATTTTGGAGCACTGGGCACATGGACTTGGACGGGTAGCACAGTAAGGTCTTGGGGGCTGAGCACAAAGCTCCCAGGCCTCTCTGGATGCGCCCACCTCCCAGCACAGTGATGTGTTCACCAACCCAAATGCTCCTTCTGACTCATGGATTCAGGGTTGTTGTTTTTTAAAATATATTTTATTGATTTTTTTACAGAGAGGAAGGGAGAGGGATAGAGTCAGAAACATCGATGAGAGAGAAACATCAATCAGCTGCCTCCTGCACACCCCCCACTGGGGATGTGCCCACAACCAAGGTACATGCCCCTGACCGGAACTGAACCCGGGACCCTTCAGTCCACAGGCCAGTGCTCTATCCACTGAGCCAAACCGGCTAGGGCAGATTCAGGGTTTTTATGTGGGATTTTATCACAGATGCATGATCAATTCAGTCATTGGCCATGTGACTGGACTCAGTGTCCAGTTCCTTTCTTTGGTGCTGGAAGTTCTGACCTCTAATCACATGGTCAGGCGGACTTGTTATGAATAACAGAAGACACTCCTATCACTCAGGAAATTCCAAGTGTTTTAGCTCTGTGCCAGGAACCAGTGACAAAGACCCACTATATTTTACTATACGATTTGTGCCCATCAGCTCCCCCAACTAACTATATAAGCAAAACCCATGGGCTTGCTCTACAAATCCAACTTCAGGATAAGTCTCTGACACCCCCTTCCCAATGAATCCAGGAGCTGTCATTGTTTCCCCTTAGGATGCCCACCCGCAGGGTCTAACCCAGGGGTGGGCAAACTTTTTGACTCAAGGGCCACAATGGGTTCTTAAACTGGAGGGCCGGAACAAAAGCATGGATGGAGTGTTTGTGTGAACTGATATAAATTCAAAGTAAACATCATTACATAAAAGGGTACGGTCTTTTTTTTTCAATAGTTTATTCATTTCAAACGGGCCGGATCCGGCCCGCGGGCCGTAGTTTGCCCACGGCTGGACTAACCCCACTCTCCCTTTGCCAGCTGGATGGCCTTGGGCGGGTCACCTCACCTCCAGAGTGGTTTCCTCACTTGTAAAATGGAGAAATAATTCCTGTCTCAGGGAGTTGTCTAATGAAATGATGGGCACCCAAGTGGCTGGCACGCAAGGGCACGCAATAAACACTAGCTACTTCCCTCCTCTAACTGTAAGCCCTGGCCCTCCTTCCTGCACTCTGACCCCTCTGACCCCTGGGGGATGGGACTGTCTGGGTCATCCCTGTCAGACACTCAAATGAGGCTCCCATCTCCCAAACACACACCCACACTCACACCCACACCCACACCCACACCCAGCACCAGGAACACATACCATCTGAGCCCTGGCTTCTAGGCCTGGCTTTACCATTAATTAACTGTGTGACTTCATACAAGTCCCACGTCCCCGCTCTTCTCTGGGACTCATTTGTACAGAGAAGTGCTAGGATCTGAGGTTCACTGAGGTGCCTTCCACTCTGATCAAGTCCCCACCAGCGATCAGCACCAGAGTGAAGCAGAGTAAAGCCAATAAAGGTTTGAATAACTTAAAATTTTATTCTGAGAAAAAGTACTGTAAAGACAATTTCCCAAGGTCAAGTTTAGATGAGGAAAGGGAGGGCTGCCTGAGCCTTTGCTGGGGTCAGAACTGGGACTCAAGGCCAGTACACTGTTGGACTCTGCCCATGGGGTCCCAGCCAAGTCTCGTGAGGCCAGAAGGGACCCAAGACCCTGTGATCTAAACGAGGGAGGGGCACGGAAGAGGCCCAGGCCAGGCCGCCCTACCTCTGCAACAGGACTGTAGGCACCATGGGGAGTTGCTACCAACTCCCCCAAGACTAAGAAGGAGGGCTGTTCCCTGAGTCACAGAAAAGGGGTTCACCAGTGCCATCTATCCCAGCGTGGGAATGACCAAATCCTGGACCAGGAGCCCTGCAGGGCACGCAGGGGCCAACCTGGTGAGGCAGGGCCGAGGGGCGCCGTCAGGCCCCGAGCTCATCCTTCCACTCCTGCAGCTTCTTGTCCATGGCCCGGAGCGTGGATTCAGCCTGCGCCAGCACAGATTGGTCCCTCTCTTCTCCCCAGACCCCCAGCGGGCCGTGGGGAGCTGGGGGAGGCCTGCCCTCCCTCCCGCAGCCCTGCCTGTTACCTTCACAAAACAGAAGCGGATGTAGTGGTCAAAGTGCTTCTGCTGGGGCATGCTGTAGAAGACCGACACCGGGATGGCCACCAAGCCCTGGGGAGGAGGAAGCCCGTGTCTCAGCAGCCCCGGCTCTCGGGAGGCAGAGGTTTCATGGCGCGGGGGAAGAGTGTTCGCGCCAATGCGCACCCCCAGTGCTATGTCAAGGTCAGAGGGAAAGAACCCCAGAACATCCCACGTCTCTCCTGTGTGTGGAGAGGACATGGAGGCCAAGAGAGGGGTCAGGGCAGAGCCAGAGAGGAAATAAGCCTGAGAATCATAGCTCTGAGCTGGATGACCACAGAGTTAATGGGCCAACTCCTCACTGTACAGATGGCAAGACTGAGGCCCTGGGAGGCCAGGCATTCGTTCTGCCAACCACATGCCACCTTTGTACAAATTAAACAGGCTCGCCATCCTTGACATGGCTACAGTCCTGTATCAGGGCTCACGGCAGAGGCTGGGCTGGAGTATGGCCCCTTAGCTTCTTGGTCAGCCCTGGAGCAGTGCACAGCCTGTAAACCATTCACCGGGGCCCCGCCCACCTTGTTCTTGATCATCCACTTGACGAAGCGTCTGTCATAGGGCTCGTTCGCAGACCCAGGCAGGTCAGGCATCTTGCTCTCTGGGGGACAGAGGCCACGCTGAGCCCTGGGCAGCCTCCAGCCCCCCACACCCTGCCCAGCCCGGCCATTCCTCACTGAAGTCCGAGATGTCCGCGACGAAGAAGTAGCTGCCCTGGGGGATCACGGGCCTCAGGCCCACAGAATGCACACTTCGCAGCATGTGGTCACGGCTGCGTTGCATGGCCTGTGGCAGCTGCACAAAGTAGCTGCTGGGCTGGCCGAAGTGCAGCTGCTCCCGCTCCAGGCTCTCGGCCACTGCGGCCTGGGGGGGTGGAGGGGGCGCACGCGGGAAGGAGGATGCACAAGCGTCAGGCTGACCTGGCCCGGAGCCAGCCTGGCCCTCCCTCCCCCGGGGTCGGTCCCCAGCCTCCTCACCTGGGCCTGCGTGGGACAGTGGTAGATCGAGTTCTGATGCACTGTGTACAGGTGCTTCATGAGTCTCTCGGGGCCTAGGACCCAGCCCACCTAGACCGCAAACACAGGTTGGGGTGAGGCCTTACAGGGCCTGGCCAAAGGCGTCCTTAATTCCCAGCCACCTTTCCTGCCAGGGGCCACGGGGGTAGGGTAATCCCCTAACCTTGTCGACTCACCTTCCAGCCGGTGGCGCTGAAGGTCTTGCCAGCGCTGCCAATGGTCAGAGTGCGTTCCCACATGCCAGGGAGGCTGGCTGCCCAAGGCCAAAGAGAACAGCTGCTGAGGTGGGGCGAGGGGGCAGGGAAGGGGTGGGGGCTGGACCCCAGTGGGCCCTCAGGCTCTCACTCTCAGAGCTCCGATTGTGCTATTTACAGGACTTATTCCAGGTTACCCTCATGACAAGCCTGGGGTGGGTGCCCCTGGTCACATGACCTGTGTGCCTCCAGACCCTTAGACCCTAATCGTCAGGCCTGCTGCTGACTCCCAGATTGGGCTCAGTGCCCTGGCACAAATAGCCAGGGGAATGGGGGCACCCTGGCCAGCCGGGCTCACCAATGCTGATGTGCTGGTGCCCATCAAAGACCAGCCACTGGTAGACCTCGTCCGTGATGCACAACACATCATGCTGCTGGCACAGGCGGGCTATCAGCTCCAGTTCTGCCTTGGAGAACACCTGTGGGCCGTCCCCAAACACAGCCCTGCTCAGAGAGGTGAAGGGCACATCCAAACCCAGAGCCTTTCTGCCCCATCCTACTGAATCCCCACAACACTGATCCTGTGAGATAACGGAAAAATATAGCCCAAGCCGGTTTGGCTCAGTGGATAGAGCGTCAGCCTGGGAACTGAAGGGTCCCGGGTTCGATTCCGGTCAAGGGCACATGCCCGGACTGGGGGCTCGATCCCCAGTAGAGGGCATGCAGGA